CTGAATAATGGTACTCGTGAACCTGGGGATTTGACTCGGTAGTTTTATGAAATCATTCAGTGTGTATGTACGGCTCTTTTCTAGGATTTTTCAGCCCATCGTTTTTCATCCCTTTCCAACGGGGCAAGCGTGTTTTCGGTGAAACGGCAATTTGCACCGTTTGTCAAACTCGTGGTTGCATTGTAGTCGCACTTTCAGTTGACACCGCACAGCTTCACCAGGACAAAAGGCCAATAATCTGCATGGGTTGAAATATAATCATAATACTTGCGTATCTCATTGGCAATCCAAACTTGTCACACTCGGAGGGCTCCCGGTAGGGGTGACTTTACGCAAGCGGGACACGCGAGTGGCCAATATTTAAGCAACAGTTGACATAAATTGAGCCCCCTTTTTTGCCGTGGACGCATAATTTTCGACCTCAGAAGCAAAAACAGTTTATTCTTTGCCCCCCTCCCCACGCGTTTGATAAATATTCCCTTTGAAACCCCGAGCGAGAAGCAATGAAAAACGGAGGCGCAAAAAGAAAAGACGGGGGGCTGACAAGTCGCGGCTTAAACAGATCCGAGCTGTCTGGCCCGCGGAGCATGGGGTCTTTGGGCGCGACGATGATTTGCTCTGGTGTATGGTCAGTGCCGCGAGGGGCGCGAGTCTCACGTGGTGCAGGTGATTAAAAGCGCGAGAGGCGCGAGAGCGCGGTGGCTGGGGCTAGCGGTCGATATATCAAAACACATTAAATTAACGGTAAGGGGGCACACGAGATGATTTACGCGACCGGGGAATATGATAATGTTGATCGAGCTGAGCCAAATGCGGGTGTATACGTGCACCTTCCGCGCTGCGGTGATTCTTCATTTTTATTTTTGTTTGTCCAAACGGTATATTATATACATATCACACGTGTGTGCGTGTGAATTTGAGGAAACATTTCATCCAGTATAAATGGTCGTATATGGTCAGACATTGTGATTTATTGGTAGTTTGGCAACAATACCTTCTGTTTGAGATTGTTTTGCTTGGATCCACTCATAGAAATGCGAAGTGTAATGTAGAGGGTGGCCATCGTCTAAAACCTCACGAGAGATCATTATGTTTATCCCGTGTGTATGTACCTACATGCAAAGGTACAGAAATAAGATCCATAATATATTGTCCTCTAAAACAATTAAAATAAAAAAACAAAAAAATGAAGAGCTAAGGAAAACATTTACATTCTTGGGATTATTAACGAAGAAAACAAGAAAATTAATTTTTTTTCCACGGTGGAACAAAGTCATGAATTGTTTTTCTAAAATAAAAAATCAAGGAGTGCACGATTTGTCATACGCATAAATCGAACAAAAGGACAGCGGGAATCAAGAAACACACGAGTGTACGTTCTCGGGTTGTCTTACTCAAAACTAAACGAGCACGAGGCACAACTGAATGAAATAAGTATTATCCAGCACGGCGATGTCGAATCGAGGAATCGGCAACACCCGACACCGCCCCGGTTAGACGTTGACACCCTAGATCGGCGACTAGGCCGATTTTTCGGACTCGCCGATCGGCCAACAACCATCTCTCGGCGGTGCGCGGTATCGAATCGCGCCGTCCCGGCGAAGAACACACCGATTTGCCCGTAGTTGGAGATCGATCCGCGACAAGCCCGCCCGTTGGCGTAATCGAACAAAGCGACACGCAGCGTGGGTGTGTACATGTACACCGTCGCAGGGACGGACAGACACACGGGTCCAGAGAGGGAGACGAGAAGCCGCGAGAAGGAGAGAAGGAAGGAGGACGACAGGGCAAAACGTTAGAAACACGATCGGCTAGCGTTATACGTGCACATGTATAAAAATACACACAAACCTACATACATATCTATACTGTACCTACCGCGATGGAGTGCATACGTGTATATGCATGTAGGGTGTATAGGGTAATGCATGGCTCGGTGTCGCGGCGGGCGGCGCACTTTGTAACAACGCGCGGGCCTTTTCACGTCGATTAATCTTATTATACCAATGTGTGCATACATACACACACATATATATACATATATATACATATGTATATTCCACGCCGTATACACACACATATAGATTTACATATAGGTATATTTATACTGCCCCCCCTGCCCTGCGTGAGCACCGATATATATCAGGAATAAAGTGTCGTGCTGCGCCCCGTGCACCTCCTCTTCGGGCGACTCTCTCTCTCTCTTCTAGTTTTCCCTCGGCCTTTTTTTCTCTCCTCCACTTCTGATTCTCTTGTACGTTCGACAATGTAACAAGAGAGTCTCAACTCGTCGACTGCGCGGTGCGTTTATTTACCATTTTTTTTTTTCTTTTTCCACTCGATCGTTTGTACTCGGGACCGATTTTTCTACCGATCATCCGCTTTTCAATTCAAATCGTCGAGGCTCGCGCTGCTTTTCATAATACCATTCATACACGCGTCTTTTCGACGTTTGTTCCTTCCTTTCGTTGCATGATTGGTTCCCGTCAACTCCTTTCCCGAGGCTTGTAGTCAATCTTTTTTTTTTTCCCTTCATCGTTCTCTCTCATTAGGTGAATGATATTTTGGTTTCGACTGCCCGTGGAGAGTCGACGATTTTAACTTGCATACGATGCCGGGGAAAAAATGCAGTAGTGATGACTTGACACATACGTGTCTATCCGATGCGCATCGGGTTAATAATTTTTTTTTTTTTTTGCCTTCTACAGTGGGCGTTGGAATATTTAACCTAATGATGCATCAAAGCTTGAATCGCGTGTAGCTCTTGGAATGCATTCTTTCATACGGACATTCTTCAGTTCGGTCAATCCTCACAACTCGGAAAATATACAATACATACATGTACCGTGTATACAGTCCGTAAAAATTTCATAAGTTTTGATACCTCAGTGTAGTCACAAAAGGAAAACTCTATACTTTTTTCTGATCACACAGTCAGAGAATTTGAGTTTAGAAATTTCTAACTAATGAAAATGGGTATGTTTTTTTTTTTTTTTTTTTTTTTTATGTTCAAGTCATTCAACTGAATGGACAAAATTTTACAAAACTTGAAAAGTTCGTTTTAGGGTGAAGTTTTATGTGCATTTTTTAAAATTGATACGGCTATTTAAAACATTCAAAATCCTAAATCAACAACGGTGTTTACAGTACGAGTAAAAATCCAAATAGTTTTTTTCTCTCTCTGTTATTTCAATAGGAAAGAAAGAGACAGAAATATCACAGCATTGCTCACATGTTCTTACAAAACTCTTACAAACAATAGGAAAATCACATCGTCTTAATTTATTTATATTCATATGTATGCTTTTACAAATTTAAAAAAAAAAAAAAAAAATCATGATGCACTTAATCGTCATTTAGTGTTGTTTTGTCGGATCATTTTAAAATGAAAAAAAAAAAAATAATAAATAAAAATTCATAAACTTTTATTATTATGATTGTTCAAACAACTAAATAATGTGAGATGTGCAAGAATTTATTTGTTCACAACTGATTATGGTATCTACGTTAATCCAATAAAACCTTTATCGATAAGTATCCGATTTTTATTTGATTACCACACAACCGCAACTCAGTTAAAATTATTCATCGAAATTTTTATCCATAGTTTACTGTTTCACGCGTAACTAGCACAATTTTCACGTTCACAAAACTACAAATCAATAAAAGTATTATCCAAGGTAGGCACCATCTAACATAATTATCATGATCATCCATCAAATTAAAACAAATACAAAGGTCATCACGTTGATAAGAGTTGATAAAAGAGTCGAGGCTTTAAATTCTATTCGAATGATATTTTATAGTACGAATAAAAGTATATAAAGCGACACGGTTGAGTTGTTAATACGTTTAGTGATTGTTAGAAACTCGTCGAAATCATAAACAAAACTTACCAACCCGATTTACACAGGTAATGTCTCTCACGTCTGAATTATCGTCAAAGTTACCTTAACATTAGTACTTTCATAAGTTTTGATTTTTTTTTTTTTTTTTATTAATTTCTCATTTAAATTTCACCAGCTTTACTTTATTTTTACAAACAATTTCTTCATAGTAGGCTAAAAAATGTTATTTACTGATACACTTTATATTACATTATCAAATTTCGTGATTCTAAAGCAATGTATTATCTTAATGGACAGTACGATGATTATTTGCAAAATGTAACGTGCACATGCATGATATAAATATCTGTGCAACGCGACAAGATAAGCCTTTCCAGCAATCGAGTCACACAATAATATTATTTTTGATATGCCGAAACTTATTTGAACCAATAAGAAAATACTTGTAATGCATTTATTGGCTTTGGGACAACATAATATTCTATTACCCTAAAAGTAATTATTAATTTGTAAAATAATAAAACTGCACGGTATATATTATCATTAACTACATTTTTTAGTCCAAACACATGAGGTATCATTTAATTTACGAGATCTGATAAAACCAGAGGTGATTGTCTTACGGAGGTGATAGGAAGAGATAGATCCACCTAATCAATCAATACAGCCTATAGTTAATTAATAAATAGTCAGCTTTAAGCCTTCCGAGCAGTAAAATTCCCGGAACTAAATGACAAAAATCGTACCTGTTCACATACATGGTTATTTTTCATTCAACGCCGTTAAAATTAGCCAGAACAAGTTTTAAAGTGAGGCTTGCTCGTTCAAAGCGAAAAGTGAAAGGGTTTCATCAACGAGAAAATCGAAAATAAATGTAAGAAAAAACGAGTAGCGTTTTGCTTTGATGTGATCAAAAATAAAATTATGACACATTCTTATAACATCGGTATAAGTTTTTTTCAGGTTGATTTTGGCTGATGAACAATGATTTATTGTCTATTAATCCTACAATTGCTAGTATCCGTGTCAGTGTGCAACAAGACTCTGAAGTCTCTACACGTGGTACGTTTTTCCGGTACAATGAAGACTAATATTGTTTCATGAAAGTATTTCTGTTATATTCGGGACAAAAAATAAATCAACAGGAAAAAAATGAAATTCCAGGTATTCAGACATGGCGACCGAACACACGACAAATATCCTGACGAGTCGTATCCAACAGATCCTTACAGAAACAACTCCTTTTACCCGATTGGATTTGGTGGTTTGACAAACGTACGCATATATCTTATCGTCAAGTACGAATCCAAATTTTATATCTAAAAAAAAAAAAATAAAAAAAATAAAAAAAAAAATTGAGCTTTGCAGCAAGGAAAGTGTCGCCTGTACAATTTCGGAACGTCCTTACGCGAGCGTTACGATAGATTTTTGGGCGACGTGTACTTTCCCGCGGACGTCAAAGTAATCAGTACAGATAAAAGCCGTACCAAGATGAGTTTGGAAACGGTTCTCGTCTCCCTTTACCCACCGAAGGGCGAGCAAGTGTGGAAACGGGGCTTCGACTGGCAGCCCATACCGATCAATTATGCCCCCAAATCGGAGGATCCATTTTTCATGTACTGGACATGCCCAATGTAAGATTATCTTTTGGCAAAGGATTTTCAATGTCTTTTGTGAATCAAAGGTATTGGAAAAAAAATCTCCACTTGCTCGCAGGTACAAAGCCGAGTTCAAATGCGCCCGTCAGACACCAAAGTACCGCCAAGAACTATCGCACTTTGATGGATTAATGAGGAGTTTGACCAACTACACGGGGAGACATTGCCGCGACACCGAATTCATTTACTATCTGTATCACACTTTGACAGCTCAAAGTTTCTTGAATCTCCCGCTTCCCGCATGGACCAGGCCTTATTTTCCAAACGGCCCCATCATAGATGCCGCCCTGCTCGAATACGATTTCATGAGTTACAATACGAGAATGAAGAGACTGAACGGAGGTAAATCACGTCGCAACGATAGATTCACAAAAGCTTCATGTACCTTGATCATTTCCCTCGTAATGATTTTTATGAAATGCATCGTAAAGGAATGTCCCTGCGCAAGGTGTTGGATGACATGTCCGTCGTTATGGACGAAGGAGCGCGTGAAAAACCAAAAGTACACCTGTACAGCGCCCACGAAAATAACATCGCTGGTATCCTGCAGACGCTGAATTTGTGGAAAAGGGTCATTCCGGAGTACACGAGTGCCGTTATCTTTGAACTTTACCAGGAAAATGTGGAACATTACATCAAAGTAAGTGCATACGGTGTAGTTTCGTACACGGTGGAACAGAAGATCAACAATGATCACAATTTGTCCTTTCAGGTCGTATACTTCAAAGGAATACCCGCGGAGTATGAAGTGCGACGATTACCGGGATGCTCGGAGTATTGTCCTCTGGAGCGGTTTTTGAGGATCACGAGAAATGTGGTACCGATCAATGTAACGGAAGAATGCTTTGGGGAAAGTCACGAGACGTACAAATTCTCGCAGCCCATTACACGGCTTCGATGGGAGGGATGAATCGAGGAAGGCCCGTTTTTTTGTAAAGGAAACACCTTCAATGGTCTTTCTACGATTACTTTTACTGCATTACAAAGTATATCACGTAGGACTGCGCGTTTGAGTTTTGTACACGACACCGTTTCAATAGCCATCGCTTTACGGAAAAATACACTTCACTAGGGGGCAAAACGGTCTCTCGATTTTCCAAATTGTCTCTTTCTATGTGAATTCAAATTACCTACGATACTACCCGTATTATAAACGTGAAAAACGAAGAAATCAAGATATCAAAGGTATACGCTCTCATTACCAGTCGCATCCTCGAGCGCACTAATTGAATCCTCAACTCTATAAGGCCGCAGATGCAAATGAGCCTAACGTAAAAAAAAAAAAAAAAAAAATACACACCCTGCAATCAAAGCTCATAAAAGCCCTTACATATATATACCCTTTTGCGGAGCTTTCCCTCGTGAAAGTTATTTCGTAAAACCACAACTCATTACCAGAAATAGCCACCTCCGTTCTCCCTGAGGCCCCGTACAAAGGAAGAATCGTACGGCGTATGCAGCCCGGCAAATAATCCACAACGAAAAGGGCATTCAACGCGAAGCTTGTGCCCTAATGGACGTTCGATTTTCAGCTGAAAACGACTGACGAGAGGGGCCCTCCTTCTTCGATCTGTCCTGTACTCGGTGAGTCTTCAGCGCCGATCGGCAGAGCGAAACAACGAAAAAAAAAAAAAGAAAAAAAGAAAAAAAATAAAAAAGGAGAAAAGACACGCTAGAGATGATCGAGTGCTGTGTTTGGGATCCACTGCTCTTTTCTACGAGTCCCCCTTTTTATTTTTCCCCGAGCGACGGGACGTTCATTCACGAAAACCGTATACGCACAGCTTTCTCCGGGGCGTGTCTCTCTCTCTCTCTCCTTCGAGCGGTGGTGTCATGTATGTATATATGCATATATATATAGGAAACACAAACCTCGGGCACGCGATGAGTGCGCAAATTTTTGCCCTCCTCCCCGGAGAAGGCGGCGTTCCGAGGGTTAGATAGGAGGCGGAGGAGATGTCAGTCAAGCGCGCGCGCGCGGCTCATTACCGGCAATTGTGGCCAGTGGCCCGTATACACACCACCACCGGCTCCCCGCGGAGTGCCGCAGGATCTTTTTGTGTGGATTTGTATGAGCGCGTTTACGAGATTCTTTCGTATATATATGTACGTATGTGCGGGCGCGTTGGGAGAAAGAAGAGCGCGACATGCATGACGACGCCGTTTAATTGCTCCGATCGGTCGGTTAACCGTTTCCTTCGGGGAGGGGTACATGTAGGTGGTTGCTGCTCGTGTAGATATGGGGATCGGGGAGACGGTCAGTATAGGTATACACGGGCGAGAGATGGGAGTTGAGTTTGATGAATAGTCGACTGTCTCGTCGAGTTAATTTACACGTGTCTTTTGTGCGCGCATGGGGTTTTCGATCCGTTCAAGTTGCTCAAGTTGCCGGTGTTGCGCGTTTTCATGGTCAAAGGCTCGATGTATCGGTATTTTTATTGTTGCGTTAAATGAAGCTGGAAAATGGACTCTTGGACGCACACCAACTTTGTCCGTGACGTTTTGTAATGAAGATCACTTTTGGTTTTACGTCCACTCAAAGTATAGAGAGCTTCAAGTTCGATCAAGCTAACTAAATCTGCAGAGTTTTAACGGATTGCCAGTTTATTCAACGAAACTTTGAGAATTTGAAACAAACGGGTTATTGGTACAACTTTTTCTTGCCCAACTCTTACACAATTCTAATAAAATTTTAATTTGTTACGTGTTTACTTTCCTACGGAAGTAACTAATTTCGTTAGAACTTTAGCGATTGAAGAGGATTCTTTTCATAAAAGTAACGATAAAAGTGATTCTTGCTGTTGCTTATTAATGAGTAGGTATGCATAAGTTTTTTTCTTCTTTCATCATTAAAATGGCCAAAGCTCTTACTCGTGTGGTATTGGTAAAATCACAAATGAATCTTTTGCATTGCAAACGTGTACAAATACCGGGCGATTCTTTCACAAATGGCTTTCGTCGAAAGCTCAATTCGCTCGCTTCGCTGCATTGAAAAGAAAAAAAAGAAAAAAAGAAAAAAAAAAGGGCACAAAAATCGCGTTCAATTACCGCGCCTCTGCATTCGTTCCGTAAAGCCCGAGCGTTATTAATCGGGTGATCAATATAAAACCCCCGCTAATTTCCACAAAATCCGAACGCGGGCGCGCGCGAGCCGATTATTTCTCGAAATTAACTCCCCCCCACCCCGAATAGAACCGCCAAATATAATTCGCCCGGCTCGGATAATCGACTTTAGCAAGGAAAAAAAGATCGAGAAAAAAAGCTCCCCCCCCAATAACCCAGCAGCAAAAGGGTTGGTGGTGTGCAACAACGGCAGCAATCAGCCGTGCGAGGGTATATTATATATACGTATAGGTGTCGCGACACCCCGCTGAGCCCCGATATATATATGTATAATACAATAACGAGCAGCTTTCTCATCTCAGGGGTAATTAGTTTTTCTCCTCTCTCTCTCTCTCTCTCGTTGCAGCAGCCAATTACGCACATGCGTCTGATTTACATAACGGCCCCCCCCCCATATAACCTCTGCAGTATATGCGTGTGTGTGTGTTATAGGCCCAAGCTCGATGGAAATAAAGGACGCGCCCTAATGGACGAACGCGCATGCGGCTTGACGGATGCCCGAGCTGTCAATTTTAAAAAACGCGCCAAGGGCCCCCGAGGCCCATACGTCCCTCGTCGTCTTCCCTCCTCGTGCCGTATATACAAGTATATGGCAGTAGTGTGGCATGCACAGGGGAAACCCGGCGGGGCGTCCCGCTGCGTAAAATTGTCTTTTGCCTCCGCGTTCTATATATACATATTATAATACTCGGGGGCCCCCTTGGGGGTGGGGGGATGACGCGCGGCCCACTACCGCTCGCGGGCGAGACCCGGACCGTGTAATTATTCGTCTGGCCATAACTTACGTAACCCCTTTCTTTCTTCCTTCCAAAGGGGCCCTGCTTCTCTAGATCTTGGGGTCACCCGTTGCTGTTCCTATACGGAGTCTATAAAGTTCAGCAAAGGGCGAAATGCGGTGGGGGCCTTTTTTATCGAGCAAAGAATCGTCCTGCGTTTGTTATCGATCCCCCACACCTATAAATCGACCGAAACTACCGAAAATCGCTGCGAGGGGTATTGGGTTATATATACACTTACACTCCCACGATGTACATATACGTATAAAAGAGGGGGGGGGCCTTTTTTGACTTTCTCGTGGGTAAAATTAATGACTTTTCACCGAGTCGGGACGTTCCTCGGTCTTCATTAGGCACCGTCGCGTTGTCCTCGTTTATTCACGGCTTCTTGTATACGACGCGTTGTACATTATACTACATCACAAGTGTATAGACGCGCAAGGCACAATGCCAACTTTCGATCGAGAGGCCATGGGTAAAAAATGAACGGGTGTCAATGTCGAGCGAGGCGCGGTTGAAAAATCGTGGAGCCATGAATGACGAAGGAAAGAGAGAGAGAGAGAGAGAATTTGAGGAAGATTATTACAGTGGAAGTAGCGATGCGAGTGACGGACGAGCTAGAAGTGCCACACGTGAAAAGCGCGTCCATTAATTGCCACCCACTGGTCACCATAGCCCCTCGAACAGCGTGTTAATGTCCTCGAGTATTTTTTCATCGCGTATCTCGATCTCTGCTTTACTGCGGGGAGCCTCGATCCGATCGCGATCGCGTACCGGCCCTTTGTCGCCCGCTACCGTGCATTTCTCAAGATACGGCCGTGCGATAGCTACACTATTCGTGAAAGCTGTCCTTACGGAGGACAGGGCAAGCCGAGAGTGAGACGTAGAAGGAGCAGAGGAAGAAGAGGGGGATGGAAGCTAATTACAGGTGGGACCCGCTACGGAGAGACCCGAGCTAGATGAGGCCATCAGGACGCAGCGGGGTGTCGCGACACCCTCGCCTTGCCCCCCTCCCATCTGCGAGGCTCTCTCTCTCTCTCTTCTCTGCCGAATATTCGCCTTTTTTTTTCCTTTAATTTCGCTCGTTCCAATGCGTACAAAAAAAATGCCCTATTGACTTTGAAATTCGAGCCCCTCTTGTGACGCCCTTACATTGCACCACGCGAATTGAGGCTCGCTACACGACGGCCCCTCTTTGCTTCAGACAATGTACACGAGAGCACAACGGAGACAGCTCCGGAGGAAGACAAGGGGGAGTTTGCGAAATGAGACAGAGCCGAGTTGTCATCGGTCATTGAGTCGGGATCTCGGGTGGAGAGGGTGGACGGACTCGCTCCTTCAAAGGGGCACAATTGATGCGAGCGGGCCTCCTTCCACTGCGGTATACCTGCACCACGGATGTGTATATGCATAGTGTCCCCGTGGCGTCGCGCGGTCCCCTGTACGTTTATGTACCTGTACACCGGTGCATTGGTAAAAGAAGAGGAGGAGGGGAAATATAACACACGGACGCTACATACCTAGTACACGTTTACGAGGGCCGTGATGCTGGGGCGCTCTCCTCTTTTCATCATCATCATCGCCGTCGTCTCCTTCGTCAAAAGACAACGCGAAATCATCGTCCCTCGCGAGAGAGCGCGCCCTGTAACAATGCGACTCTTTCTCCGTTGAGAATGCGCTCCGCTCATCGCGCGTGTCCCTCTTCTATTCACCCCTTCTTCTCGAAACCCTTTCCCCTCCCCTTCCGCCGCTCTTCTATTCCGATTACACCTCTCCCTGGGCAGTACTTGAAATATTAATGCCCCCCCCCCCCCTCGCATTGGGTTGATGCGCTCCGGTCGATGTGTTCCCACACCCGCGCTGTTACAATACTCAAAGCGTTCTTGTATATATATATGGGAAGTAGCTGCCAAAGGCGCGCACGTGTTTGAAAAAATTACGAGCCTTCCTACGAAAAGAAGAAGAAGAAGAAGAAGAAGCAGATGCAAGAGGGTGTGGACAAGGAAGTTTT